AATTTCCTTTTTACATTATATTCTATAGTTAAACATTTCATCAGATTAAAGATGTATACCCTGTGTGTTATAAAGTTTCACATGCATAGATCTAGGGGGGGGGGCATTTAAAATTTGTACAGTCATACGTTAAATAAACTAAATGAACTACCGGTATAACTGACCTTGGACCCTCCACTTGGAAAACGCCGAACAAACATTTTTATCTCTTTGTTTGTACAAATAAAATATGTTTTACATGCATAGAACTAGAGAGAGGGGTCCGGAACACCCCTTCGAAATTTGTAAAGTTATTTAATGCAAAAACTAAACCAACTAAAAGTTATTTAATGTATAAAATAAATCAACTAAAAGGGACCTTAGACCCCCCTCCCCAACCGAAAATGTGGATTCGTGTTAATTGGTATAAAAAATGTCATACACATGAAGATATGACGCATAAGAACCCCCTCTCCTCGGCCGAAATAAATTTTCACATTTAGAAAAGGACTTAACGTTTTTTTTTTCTTGTCAAGAAATTTCTGGGTTTTTTTTTTTTTTACATGATTTTTTTTTTACATGAGTGACCCTCTTGGAAAAAAATGCCCTATAGATCTTTTTAAATTTAAATGAATATCAATATGAAAATAAAATTTATTCAAATATGTGTGGCAGTTAGCAGTAAGCAGCTGACAGTTGGCTGTAAGCAGTCAGCAGTTGGCAGTAAGCAGTTGGCTGTCGTATATGGCATTCCATAAACAACTGATGTAAAATATTTTTTTTTCTAAGAAAAGAACATAAAAAAGTTACTTTGAAATAGAATATCTATATATTTGAAAATCGATATATTATTTCAATTTACTATTTATTTCAGGTTTCAGTATTTTCATCTTTTGACATTGATTTATTTTTTGTTCTCTTTGTAACATATAAGTAATTATTATTTTTATTAAGGTCTTCCGTCTTCAGCGGAAGACCTTGTTATTCTTAGGTTTCTTTTTCACTTTTATTATTATTATTAAGGTCTTCCGTCTTCAGCGGAAGACCTTCTTGTTATTCGTTTGTTTCTTTTCCACTGTTTTTCTTATTATTTTTTTTCTCCCCGATTTTGTGCAAGCGATTTCTCGAAAACGGCTCGTTAGATTTTTATGAATCTTTCAGGTCTGATAGAACATATTAAAAACTTGATGCATTTTTTTTCATTTTGATGACGTCACTTCCGGTTCGAAAATTTTCGCAATTTTGTGATTTTTAAGGGTCAGTTTGTCCGTCGTTCTTCCTAAAAACCGCTCATCACAGGAAAATGAAACCTTTTCTGGAAGATAGAGCAACATATGTAGATTTGCATTGTGTTGTTAACTTTCACCGGAAGTACCGCACGTTAACGCTCGGTATGGTCTGAAAAAAGTCATATTGAGCGTTTCAAAATTTCTAACACTTTTTCTATTATATCGTTTTACTTGTAAATATTTTGTTAAAACATATAGAACAAAAGTTGTGAAGAATTGTAAGATCTTTCAAATGATATCTCGAAAAAAGGGCTGACCCCTAAAATAAGGGATCTAGAGGGGCCAAAAGTTTTTACTTGATATCTCAAAAAGTTTTGAGAATTTGTAATACGTCAAAGAAGAAAAGTTGTTCAAAATGTCAAGCTTAATCTACTGAAGTCGTCAAAATATGTCCGGCGTCGTCACTTCCGGCCAAAGCGGAAGTAATCGGAAAACGCGTATTTTTGCCGTTCTTCACAACTTTTTGGAAAACATATGTCTCTGGGAGCATAAAAATTAATTTTTTCTACGTCGGCGTCACTTCCGGTCAAACCGGAAGTAGCTACAAATAGCTTACTTTGAAGGTTTTTGATGCAAAATTGAAATTATAAAGTCACTGGAGACGACTTAGCTCATTGCTTTCTTTTTTGATGTCACTTCCGGCACTTCCGGTCAAAACCGGACGGAAGACCTACTCGTTGCTTTGCAACGAGCTTTGCTCTAGTTATTATTCTTTTTTTTCTTACCGATTTTGTGCACGCGATTTCTCAAAAACGGCTCGATGGATTTCCATGAAACTTTCAGGACTTATGTAACATAACTTGAACCTCATGCATTTTTTTCCGATTTGATGACGTCACTTCCGGTTTGGAGATATCGTCGATTTTATGATTTTTGAAGGGTCAGGTTGTCTCCAGATTTTCTCAATAATGGCTCAAGATAGAAACTTGAAACTTTCAGGTATGATAGACCAAAGTCTATAGATATGCGTAAGGTATTTCATTTTTATCGGAAGTGCTGCACGTCGGCGCGCGCTATGGCCCGAAAATGGTCATATTGCGAATTTCAAAATTTTTAATACCTTTTCTATGATATCTTTTTACCTGAAAATATTTTGCTAAAACATATAGAACAAAAGAAGTGTAGAATTTCAAGTTCTTTCAAATGATATCTCGAAAAAAGGGCTGGCCCCTAAAATTAAGGGCCTAGAGGGGCCGAAAATTTTTCTTTTATATCTCAAAAGGTATTGAATATTTGTAATATATCAAAGAAGCAAAGTTGTTCAAAATGTCAAGCTTGATCTATTAGAGTCGTCAAAATACGTCCGGCGTCGTCACTTCCGGCCAAACCGGAAGTAGTCAAAAAACGCGTATTTTTGCCGTTCTTGACAAGTTTTTGGGTAACATATGTCGTTTAGAGCTTAAAAATTAATTTTCCGTCCGTCGTAGTCACTTCCGGTCAAACCGGAAGTAGCAAAAAATGGCATATTTTTGCATTTATTAACTTAGCTTTAGAGGATTCAAAGCATTTTTAGGCGTTATTTCTCATTTTTTGTTAAAAATGAAAGCTACTTCCGGTAAACTGGACGGAAGACCTACTCGTTGCTTTGCAACGAGCTTTGCTTTAGTTTTTAATTATTATTGTTGCTTTGAACCTTTGAATTTCAAATTTCTATATCCCTACATTCAGAATTTGTCTAAAATCTCAAAAATAAATTCAGTATTTTCATATTTTGAATTTTATTTATTTTTTTGTTCTCTTTGTAACAAATAAGTAATGAATTATCTTTACTATTTTTTTTGTTAATGTTGCTTTGAAGCTTTTGGATATTTTCATATCTCTAAATTCAGATTTTCTCTAAAATATCCTACATGTAAATGAATTTTTTTTTAAAATTACGGCTCTACAAAAAGGAGGCCTCCACGTGGCTAGAGCTGGTAACATTGGGATAATATGAATAATAATTAATACACAAATTCATATTTTCTAAATGGCTAACTCCTTACATTTTTTGTTAAATACTTATAACATAATTAATATTTTACTATTATCATTGTAAAACAAATATAATTGTGGAAATTATTATGAATTATTTTAATATTATCTGTACAATTATATTGACAAACACCTCGCTTCGAATTTAGATCGGGCGTGGTGTACGGTAAACTCGTAATGGCGCCCGATTTCCGTCGATTCTGTAGCTATTCCAATTGACGCCATTTTGATCTTAAAATAGTAACAACCGGAAGCACTAGGTAGCCATTACTGCATGCGATTTGTGGAAGGATATTGGATCTTATAGTTAAATCGTGGTAAGTAGTATTTAATGGACTTTGTTGTTGATGACAGTGATGTGTAAGGTATTTTTGTGATTGGATATAGTTTGTGCTTTGTCAGAAAGATGTTAAAAGCAGTTCATTTATTTTAAATCGATGAAGAACAAGTAAAGTATATTTGCACGAGAAGGTCGCTGCGTTGGTATTTTCTTTGATTCCTTGGCATCATGAAAAAATATCACAGATGTAAACATTTTAAATGAATTTTTTAATGCTATTAATCTTTATTGAACTGTAAAATATTTTCTGTAGCATTGCACATTTTCCCACGTATTTTTTAAAGAATAGGAAGATTGGTCAACACAGAATGTTTCTTTAAATCGAATTACCTGCCTTGATATAGTCTATTTCTTTTTCGACTAATCACAAGAACATGTATTTTTACATACATATGGATGTATAGAAGGCAATTGGACAATGAACTTCTGAATTAAATTTATTATAAATATTTCTTTCTAATTTTAGGAGTTTAGAAATTACGGTGACACAGTGAGAAATTACAGAGTGACACAGTGACTGAAATTTCCATAGAAGGTAAATACATGTTTTGTCAAGAAAGCATTAACTGCTTTTATATACGTATCATATTTTTATTTCATATTTTTTATTTTCTTTCGTTCAATGTCTTCGTCTTTTATTTTTAGTTCACTTTTCTTCATCTTTTATATTTAGTTTATTTTCTTTGTTTTTTGTGTGTGTCAATCTTCATTTTTTTTGTTTGTGTTTCATTTTGCACAGCATTTATGGTAAAAATTCAGTTAACAATCACATGTGCACATAATCATGGTTCTCACATACTTAGATGTCCATGAAATATACTTAAAGCATAAAAACCGGCCAGACTATATGAAATGTCTACATCACGAAATATGCGAAAAATTAAAAGTCGAATTTACAAAGGTTAACCGAATTAGTTTATTGTATAAAGTTACACGCATGAAAAGAGAAATCGATAGGTTAAAGAAATTTACCAATAAAGACAGACTAAATTCATACTTAAGCAATATATTCGAACTGCCACATTCCAAACAAGATTTAATAAAAAGTAATGGGAGTGGAGAGGAGACAGACAGCCAGAAATTTGGAAAAGAAGAACGGAGAGGAATTCGGGAAAGCGAAGAAGTGAATGAGAAATCAAAAATTATATCTGAAAAGAATATTTTAATTGAACACCTGAGGAGGGAGAATGCAGCTCTTAAAGACAAAATTAGAAGTTTTAATATTAGAAACACAAACAGGAAATTGAAAAAAAAAGATGAAAAAATAACAAAATTAGAAAATGTTATTAAAAAAATGACAAAAGAAAATGTAAAAAAAATTGACAAAAGTGTGCAATGCAATACTATAAAAACAGTTATTGCTGATTTAAAAAAAGAGATTGATTTTTTAGTGTCAGAAAAAGAAAATAATTGTGATGTTGATGATGAAGAATTTGTACATATAAAAAAAAATATTGATTTTAGAGAAAACAGTAAAGGGAAACCTTACAATTTTAAATTAAGAAACTTATATTATATTTTTAGAAGTAGGAACATAGGTTTGGTACATATTGCACCAATTATTCAAGCTGTTTTAGATATTTTTAATATTCATGTTGAAAGTCTTCCATCAAAAAGTACTGCAGGAATTCTTACAAGTGAAATGGGGGTTGTCAGTAGAAGTCATTTAAATGAGGAACTTACAAACACTAAAAATATTACTATGCATAGAGATGCCACTACCAAGAAAGGAAAACATTTTTATGGATTACAATTTAATACTGGGGAAAAAATTTTATCTGCAGGGTTAAGAGAAGTATGTGATGGGAAGGGGGAGACATATGTAGAAGTAACGAAAGATATTTTATCAGATATTGCTGAGAAAGATGATGACTGTGATACTATTTTAAACAATGTGTCATGTTTTATGACAGACCGATGTTCCACTGAACAGAAAGTTAATGACATTTTAAGTAAAGACATACACCACAATGTCCATTCTTTTAAATGTTCTACTCACCCCCTTTTAAATTTTTCAGATGTCTGCATTGACGAAATTTTTAATATTGAACAAGAATTGTGTTTTAAATTTCCTGGTTTTAACAATTCATCAAAAGAGCCTTTTACTTTGAATCTTTTGAGATCTTTTTCAAAAATATTTTTCAAAGATGGGGTAGGTGAGCCTCATAAGGTTCAAGTATATTTGAAAAATCATGGTGTTGGAGAGATTCCCATTGTCAATTTTAGAGGGAATCGTTTTAATGTAATGTTTTACAATGCTGCAGGTACTTTTTTTATGCACAAACTTATTTTACAATATTTTTATTCTTTGAAAACTTCTTACACTCTTATTCAGAATTTTATTATGTCATGTTTGCAGAACAAAACATTTTTAACTCTTTTAAGATCACTTGGCATTTTATGCAAAATTATAACAGAACCATATTTTTTAAAAACAAATGAAGTTGGAAACATTTTAGATATGGGCTCTGTATTTCAGAGATTTTTATATGTTTTGGATTTGTTTATTGAAAATCCAAAGTTGGCGTTGAATAATGAAGTTTCACTTTTTTATGGTCCATATTTTTATGATGAGGTTTTTGAATTTTTACTGAAGACTTCATTAAATGACGATCTAACATGTGTTTTTATAAAGCGTATTTGTACTGTTTTAAAAAACAAAGGTAGTAAACTTTTTAGTGAATTTTTAAGTGGCGGCAAGTATTTTAATATAACTACCACTGATTTACCAGAATGCGAGTCCTGTGATACAAATAACATTTGCATTGAAAGACTGATGGGCCAATTAGATTTCAAATTAAAAGCATCGTCCACATCATCTTTAAACACTATCGAAAGTTGCATTTTATATACAAATAATAAAACAGACGAATGGTTAAAAGACAAAGATTTAAGTAAGCAAGAAGAAATAATAAATAATGCTCGAACAGAGAACAGGCTGTTTATGCAAAAAGACAAGGATAAGCAAGAAGAACTTTTTATAAAACAAACCAAAATTCTAGAGGAGAAAGAAAAGGAAGTGCAAAGAAAGAAAGAGAACCAGTCAAAACAATTGGATAATGCAATTGAGGATATGAGAAGGGTAGGACTATGGGAGTGCGAGGAAAAGATAAGGGAGGCGTTAGAAAAGATGAGAACAAAGAAAGAAAAAATGGAGGCTTTAAAAAAACAAATTAATATTTACAAAAAAGTTTTCAAAATCGACAAGGAGCATAGAGAATTACTGCAATTCTCCTCAAAAGGAAAACAGTTTGACTTGAACAAGTTACAAGAAAATCTTTTACATTTAATAAATTTACGGAAAAATGCACAACAGTCCAATGTCAAAGCAAGTGATTTAGTAGGAAAAGAAATTGTACATACATGGACGGTCGAGAGTGGGGAAAACAGAGATTGGGAGGGCCAAATAAAGAGTTTTGATAAAGGAGTTTACAAAGTAATTGAATATCAGATATAAGTATTTTATCTTTAATAATGATAATTTAACACTGTTTCACAGAATTGCATGGCACTTAACAAATTTTTAAACCATATCCTCTAATGCAATTTACAAGAGGCCAAATGACCTTAATGATCACCTGAGAATAATAAAACAGTACAATTCAACAATATAAAGGATTTATAAAAGTAAATTAGTAAAATACAGCTCATAGGCAAAGAAGAAGATTTTCAAAGAAATAATGCATTTTTATTATATGATGACTACCAAAAGCTTCACCCTTCCTCCAGAATGGCTGTCTATTTAGCACTTAATTTTGCTAAAGGGCTCTGTAATTATTACATTAGTGCCAAAAGTGTGACTGTTGTCCAACCATGAAGAAGAAGATTATTTAAAAATTGCATTAATTCCGATGGTTTTTCTTCCACCCCATAGGCCGCAGGGGGGCGGGGGGCCACAGATGCTATATGCCAAAAATGGTTGCCATTGGTTCAGCGGTTAAAGAGAAAATAATTAGTTATTAGAATTGTAAAAATGGATATTGAATTCTTTTCAAGTTGTTAAAAGTGACAAAATTTTGTCTTCTTTAAATTTACTATTTCACCATTTTATTCAACAATTTGAATATACATCAGTCATCTTTTTTCTTCTTCATATAATACATTCATCACTGTCTAATTATTAATGGTAGTATGTTTATTTTTGGTGCATGTTTTTAAATGTTTATGCATTGTTTATATTAATGTTTTTGGTGTAAAGTGTATTGCCTAAATGTTCATTTGAAATTTATGTAAGATATATTTAATTTATAATATTTATAACTGTATTAGCCATACTTCTAAATTTGATATTTATTTCATCACTTATTTATGGCTAATAAGAACATCTATGCATTATATTTAACATTGTATAATTGTTTCAGAAACTAAGGAGCTGATAAGAACAGGATGATAATTCTCTAAACAAATATTTTAGGTTGTGTACTGGGATGATAAAGAAAGGAAGAATGGCTGTGAGTTTGAGTTAACAGAGAGAGAAATTAATATTGACATACAAGAAGGAAATCTCTTTATAAAAGGTAATTTTTATTGCATACGTATGCCATTTAAAAACTATTATTTACAGTATTTTTGCCTTTTAGCATAATTTGTTCTTCTTTTTGAATATTAAAAGATGATATTTATTTATTTATCTTCTATCAATTTTATTCTAGATACTGCCAAACTGGATCACTGTTACTCAACATTTTAGTGAATTTTTAACCTTCACAGACACAGACACTACCCATCCTTCATTAGCGCTGGACCACTGCTACTCTTTGCAAAAATAGTAATTGATAATTCTTTGAAATTCATTATGTCTGAAAACAAGCTTCGAAAATTTATTTCTAAACCTACACAACCACCATCAGGTCAGAAAAGCTATGTTCCTGTTGTACTATCAGATAGTAAAGGCAACTGGCTGAAAAGGCATGTTATGAATAGTACAGAAAAAGAAATTCTGTGGTGGGCACGTAGTGGTGCAAAGATTGAAGACAGCACAGAGTGGCTTAAAAGTAACATAATGGAAAAAATTAGACGTTATGGAAACATCTGGTTGTATGTTTGGTTAGGCACATGTAACTTAACTTCAAAAAATAAGCAGTATATTACACTTACATCCGATAATGATGATGAAATTGATAACATTATTATGAACTGTAAAGAAATTAAAGGAATTCTTCAGAAATATCCTAGCTGTAAAGTTACTTTTTTAGAAACCCCTATATATTCTGTTAAAGAATGGAATAAGAGCAAAGGACACAAAAACCCCAGTATTTTTAAATTTGATGATGACAAATTAGAACAACAAATTTACACCTTAAATAATAGAATTAGAGAATTAAATAAAAGCAATGAAGTATATTCCCCCCAGTTTTCTTGTGATTTAAGTACTACTGATAAATATCGTTGTGGGAAAAGTAGAAAATTGAAAGTAAAGAGATACTATAATTTCAAACTCTATAAAGATGGCATTCACCCTGACACCTTATTATCAAAATGTTGGCTCAAAAAAATATCGGAACAAGCAAAAAGAGACTGCTGGGTTTAATGAAACAGTAATTTTACATCTGAGTTCCCATTTCATTTTGTAATAAATAACTATTTACATGTATACCATTTGCCAAGTAGGTCATTAGTCCAGATCTGTACCTAACATTTCAAAGAAGTCATACTGAGATGTCTGAAATGAAATTGTTTGCTGAAAAATCTTAATTACTATTTTAAGACTTTAAATTAGATAATAATTTAATTATTTTTTTTTTACTTACTTCATGAAAGCTATGTTGAAGGATATGTTTTTGTTTATTTTCATTATTCTTAAAAAAAATCAAAATACATCTGATTTTGCATCATCGTCCTTTACACAGAGGTATTAGAAATTGTTTTTCCACTCTACCTTTAGTTATATAACTTACCACATACTTGCTGGCATAAGTTTCAAATAATTTTTATTTTATAGAAAGAAGAATGACATCATTGGGCATAGTGCACATTTATCCTAACAATAGCCATATTGAAAATTGAATCATTTTTTCTTTTCTTTTTTCCCCCCTTTTTCATTATTTTTTTTTTAAGATATTTTATCAAAAGTTGTATTTACTTTACATAAACTGATGGCTTTTTAAAATAATTTATTAATTTATGCATTAATATTTTTCTTAATTTAGGTCAGATTTATTGGAACACCCTGTGTTTGAAAGTGCCTAACCAAACATACACCCTTTCTTGAAGGAACCTGAAAACTTCAAAAATTAATATTTAATTTGAAATGCATTAAAATGAAGCTTGAAAATGATTTTTTTAATGCAATAGTTTTCATTTATTCATCTTTATAAGATTCAATGTTTTTGGAAGTCTTAGAAAAGGTCTTATACAAGTTGACATTTGTACCTTATAAAAGAAAAAAAATATTAATACAGTTTTAGGGAAATAAGATTTTCTTGAATCCAGCCTTAGATACCAATGCATATTAGTAGATATGAAATGAGAAGTACCTAGTGTGTTTGTTGTAAAGAACTTTGTTAACCTGAAGTTTGTCCTTGATGTGTGATGGAACAGTACCTAGTGTGTTTGTTACAATCGGGTAAAAAATTTGTTTATACATAAAGTTACTCAGTCATTACATTTTCCCTTTTTTTATAGAGAAGAAATATCAATATTTATTTAAAATTCCCATCTGCCAAGTAGGTCTAAAGTCTGGAGCTGTGCCGGCGGGGACTTAAGTCCCTGGTACCGCCACGGAAGCCGGATTGGTTCAGACTAGGTCCGAAAGGCAGATCCCATATTTATTTTTTTTTTTTTATTGGAAAGACTTGTTTTGAGAATGATTGATAGGGACAAGCACCTACAGTTCACATCATTTTTAATTTGCTATAGATTTCAAAATTCAAATAATAAGTAAAAACGGTTTTCTCAGCACTTTTCCGTGAAACATATTAATTTTTATGCATTAAAATCAATAGATCCATGGTGTATATTGTTTTTGTCCTGTCTGTTTGTTTGTTTATCTGTTTGTTTGTCTGTTGTCAACTTAAATCTTAGCCATAACTTTGTTGCTGCCAGGCGCATGGTGTTTCACAAACACACCTTCTATTTTTACATTCTTTGACTGATCAGCCAGTTGCCTCATAAATATAATATATAATATTAAAATTATTTTTTATTCTCATTATGTTTTTTACACACAGAAAATGGTGGGTTTTCAGACTATTTCCTTCAAATTTGTAAAACTTATTAAAATTTTATGTAAATTTTTATATACCCATGCAATAATTTTGTATTTGAACTGCAGCTTATGTAAAGTTTAAGGCAGAATCAGTCAGCGCGGGTTTTTCCGCACTATACTGAATCTGAATGTCCACATCCACTTATTACCTGAAGACTTGCATAACATTGAACAACTTTCTCAAAATTTTTTTTTAAAATTTCAAACATTTTTAATTTTGCAAAACATTTTTATTTTGGACACCTTTTATAGTGAGGATTCAGTCAGCGTGGGTTTTTCCACACTATACTGAAATCTTTGCACTAGCTGTTATAAGATTTATTGTACCAGTTCTTCTCCTTTGATATTTAGTTAAGCTAGTTCTGCTCCCAATTGAATTAATTTTAAGTACTTTATAATTTTATCTGAAATATGTCATTATCAGCTGTTTCATCACAGGAATAAGTTTGCAATGTTCACCTCTGATAAGGGGATTTATACAAATTTTGTATTCAAATCCATGAAATCATCAATATACTAATTGACTTCAAACTTGATCAAGACAAAATTTTTTTTTTTTTTTTTGGGGGGGGGGGGGCGAATTTTTCTGAATATATACTATTTATGAACTTATTAAAATATATATATATATATATATATATATATATATTTTTAATCCGGCCTTTACATGGCAATTTATATTATATATTTGACCATCTTAGTGTAGATTAATTAAGTCAATTTGGGTTTTTCCAGAATAAACTTTTCAAAATATTTCCATAAACATATATTTTTTTGCTCAAGTTTCTACTTAATACTGTTACGGAGCTTTTTAAACACCCTATCCTTCTGTGACTTCATCTGCCATCTTGCTTTCCAATATTTGTGCAGGACAAGAGGTCAAGGTAGTCACACTCAGTCGTTTTATATTATAAATACATATCATATTTTTATTTCATTTTTTTAAAATTTTCTTCTGTTCACTGTCTTTGTCTTTTATTTTTAGTTCATTTACTTCATCTTTTATATTTATTTTATTGTCTTTGTTTTTTGTGTGTGTCAGTCTTCATTTTTGTTTTGTTTGTGTTTCATTTTGCACAGCATTTATGGTAAAAATGCACAATATAACACACAAAAAAGATAGAAGACTGAAGTATATATACGTACATAGATGACTTAAAAAAGGGAACTTTTATAAGTCAATTCAGAATTTAAGAAAAAAATATCCATAATTGTCTAACAAGAGAAGCATATTACTCATTTATTAAAGTAAAGTCTTTGCTTTCATTATCAAAAATACGAGGAATTGTGGAAATAAGTCAAAAAATTTCAACGACTGAAAAGGTTGAATGTAAAATAATTCATTAGAATCGTAAAAATGGATATTATTGAATTCTTTCAAGTAGTAAAAAGTCACAATATTTCATTTTCTTTCAATTTACTATTTCAACAATTTGAACATACATCAGTCTATCTGTTTTCTTCTTCATATGATGCATTTATAACTGTCTATTATAATTATTAATGGAAGTATGTTTATGTCTTGTGCATGTTTAAAAATGTTCATACATTGTTTATGTTAATGTTTTTGGTGTAAGGTGTATTGCCTAAATGTTCATTTGAAATATATGTAATATCTATTAAACTTAAAATATTTATAACTGTATCAGCCATACTTCTAAATTTTATATATATTTAATTACTTATTTATGGCTATAAATAAGAACATCTATGAATTATATTTTACATTGTATAATTGTTTGATAAACTAAGGAGCTGATAAAAACAGGTTTATAATCTCTAAACAAACGATATTTTAGGTTGTGTACTGGGATGATAAAGACTGGATGAATGACTGTGAGTTTCAGTTAAGAGAGAGAGATCAGAGCTGAAGATTATTTACTACATTTTGAGAAAAAGACTATAGAAGGTATGAAGTAAGAGTTATCTTTCATTATAAGAATTACTCCTTCAATACTGAGATTGAGTTACTGCCCTTTGGAGCCAACTTCCACTTGAGGTAGAGGTTATTAGAAGTAATTTCAGTAACAATGGGAAGGACAACCAATGAAATTCTTTCTATTTATAACTAAGTTCTGCACTTTAGGACCTATTGATGATCATTATATTACCAATGTTTTCTATTTAATTTTTAGGTGGAATAGCTAGATTCTGAGGTAAAATTGGCTATAAAAATTTACGGATGTCAATATCATTCAATTAAACATCACCTTAGGCCTTATTGTACCCCATAACGTTCAATTTTATGGGGTTTCCACCACTTTATTGGGGTTTCACCCTCCTGTATGGGTATTCTCCAAAAATCGGGGGGTTTCGGGTTTTTCCAGTCACCCGCAATGGCCATATTGTCTAAAGTAGGTCGTATGCCATGTGTTACACTTGCTAAATTATTTAGTAAATACAGTGAATGGCTATCGAATGTGGACGTTATTTTAACTTTTCTTCAAAATAAAATACAAAGAGTTGAAGAAGGAAGTTATGTCAAATTCCAAATCTTATAAGTTCCCACCTACATATTGAAAACACCAGAGGAGATGGACCAAGAATTCCCCTCCAAACAAAACATGTGAAAATTTGAAAGCAGGTCATTTGATTGGTCAAGCTGGTGCAACGCTACCAGTGTTATACACCATGCATGTACACGTAAGTAACTACAATTTCTGATACACAATATAATAATATTTGTTCGTAGAGTTATGAGTAGTCTAGATGAAATTATTGAAAAAGAATTAAATCGAAATGAATGTAAACAGGTACAGTCCAAAGACTATACTAAAGCATTTCTAACTACATATGTAGGTCTTAGAAGTGGGTAAAATAGCTACTCTTGGTAGCTTTAACCTACATACATTGTAGCTATTAATAGCTATGCGGGTATAATAAGAAATAATCTTTGGACTTGACCTTGTAAATTTCATTTTCCTTGTTCATCTTGAACACTATATGCTGATGTATGCATTAAAAGTTTAACAAGATATAAAT